GTACAATCCATAAACACCCATGCAGACTGACTGACCGAAAATATATAAAGAAACAATTTTGTAGAAATAAACCGCTTTGCTGTCATCTCTCCTGCAAGTTGTGAGAGTAAATCTGGTTGGAGAAATATTGGGAGGCATCATAAGCTAAAGATAGAAATGAACAATCTTCCAAAACCTACGAAATATAATGCAATGCCAAGACCTTTCATAGAAAGGAAAAGTCAACAATCTGTTGTACAGTTATTTATGTAGATTGCCAATGCAGAAAGCATGTATTGTTTGAGTTAAAACTAGCCAAAAAAAAAACTACAAACAGTAGACACGCGCTGCCTACACCACCAATGTTTATTAGAGTAGACTTGTCTATTATTCCTAACTGGGTATGGCAATTAACATTCTATTAATTTATTTCTGTAACTTTAAAATATAAATACTTTTAAGATAAAAAAAAATAAGACTTACCTATGTTTGTGCCTTTACTCCACTGACTGTTTCAAATCCTAATAAAAGTTACCCTAAACTTGACTAATGAGAAATCATTATAAAATACAGTAGTACTGTAGTTGTGGACATATCTACCTTTGCTGCAATTGAACTGAAGCCTACATCACAGTACAAAACTGTCAAGCAGAACAATGCTTATGCTAATTATTAATAGTACACTACTACTGTATTTTTTTTAAAAGTAAACAAGAATTAATTATTTGGACCATAACAGTGCAGACTATAAACCCAAGAAGGTGGGGAAAGGGTGTACGCCCTCATGTTGAAGGATCTGGATTAAGTATACTCCAAAAAAATAACGGATACACGCATCAAACATAAAATTACTATGAAATATTCAAGTTTACACTTTCACCATATTGAAGTACTATAAGGTGTAAAGAGCGGATCATAGACACTTAGGTATTGTCACTGTTTAGGTAAAGTTCCCCCATCACACACATTAAAAATTTTCTTGATATTCTGTATCTTCTTCTTTAGGCTTTATTCCCACTAATTGCGGTTACCGGTGCGGATTACCGTCCTCCATATATTCCTGTCTAATGCATCCTCATCTATCAAACATAATGCTATTATGTTCTTGACACAGTCTGTCACTCCACCTCCGCTTTGGCCTCCCTCTCTTTCTGGTTCTAACCTTCAATTTCAATACACGATTTCTCACATAGGACTGCTCTTGTGTACGTCTGATGTGTCCCCACCATCGTAGGCTCGTCTCTTCCCAACTTACCACTGAATTTTCCCACATTTAACTTCCCAAGTATGGTCTCATTTCGGAGTCACATCACCCCTTGGGAGAACCTCAGCATTTTCATTTCAGCCACTTCCATCAGCCATTCCTGCTTCTTTGTTACCGCCACTGCTTCAATCCCATACAACATTGCTGTTTTTACCATGGTCTTGTACAGCTTGCCTTTCACTCTTGGTGGGTCTCCCTTATTGCACAACACACCAGTCAGTCTTCACCAGCCTTTCCATCCTGCCTGGATCCTTTTCCATACATCCTTCTCTGAACCTCCATCCTTTTGGACGGTGGTTGAACCCAAATATTTTAAAATCAGTGGCTTTTGTGACAGTAACACCACATCATCAGTACTCTTCCTCCCCAAACACAGCTCTCTCTTCTTCCTGTTTACCTTCCTCCAAACAGCTTCTCCACTTTTTCAACCTCTCCTCCACTTCACCTTTCGTCCCTGAACACAGGGCCACATCATCTCCCATCTTGCTTCTTTCCTGACTCCCTTTGTCAGGCAGTGCATGATAATTGCGAAGAGTAATGGGCTGAATTCTGAACCCTGGCGCACACCAACAGCGACACTAAATGCCTCAGTGGTCCCTGCTGAGCATCTGAACCGAGTCCTACTCCTCTTATACATGTCTTGGATTAAACCCGATTTATTTCTGACATACTTCTTACAGGCAATTCCACACTTCAACTTCAACATGATCATAGGCCATCATAGGCAAAGATCATGTCTGTGGTGCTACGTCCTGGCATAAACACGAACTGCTCTGGGGAAATGCTGACTTCCTGTCTCAGTCTTTGGTCCAACACTTTCTCCCAGATCTTCATTGTATGTGACATGTTTTATTCCCTATAGTTTCCAGTCTTGATTATCCCCCTTATTCTAGATATTCTGTATAGTATTTTAATTATGTCAATTTTTCTCTTAAAAAACCACGCCCAGAGGTGCATCAGTCCATGACCGATTGAAGGATAGGCCAATCCGCTTTTTGGTTGAACACGAGTGGAAATTGCTATTCAGTGGAAATGGTGTCTGAAAATGCAAATGTATCTAAGCTAACTAAAAAATATTTAAATAATCAAAAAATACATAAATATTGCATGTATGTTGTGTTAAAATGGGAAACACACACACACACACACAATCTCACAAATGATATAACCACAATATTTCAAGTGGTTGCTTTCTGGAAGAATATTTTGGGATCGGTGTGAGTACTGCGGACAAGAAAGCGTACCAGGTGCTGGGAAGTCCCATAGCCACAGACGTGCCATTTTTAATTGATAGAAATTTGAAAAAGATAATGAAAGCATGTATAAAATTATTTTTGAAATATGGGCAGCAACTAGGGAAACAGCTTCTTATAATGCTCATATTCTGCATATACAACACATTAGCAGCAAGGAATTTGCAATAACAATGTTTTTCTTGATCGGTTTTATTCATCAATTTGATTCACTATAGTAACCTACACAAACAGTGGAAAGTTTCCATGATTGATCTAAACACTAAATCTGTTGTAACATACTCTGTATTTAGAAAAATTTACTTACATTATTATTGTACAATGTTTCCCAGTATTTTATTTATCAAGGATTGAGATGAAGAGGTAGAACTACTAACATAAATGATGGATTATGGGGCCACTATTAATACACACACTTCTATTTGAAGAGCGCCATCAAGAGGCATGATTCAGCATACTATATTTGTTTAAAACAACTACCTCACAATCTGTCATATATTAATATCCTTGACAGCCAGTTGCAAGACCGATATACAGTGGCATAACATTTGTTAGCTTTCACTAGTACTATTTACACAGAGTACAATAGCTGCAAGCAACAGCGACAAAAATATTCTGTCGCACAGTGCAATCCATTTACACAGTGCACGACAACAGCTGTGATGCACGCACCTTTTGTGGGTTGTTCTGCAGTAGTCCACATACTGAGAACAACCAGAGTCAGTGATTGGTCAGAATATTTTTTGTCGCGCAACAGTTTTTGCTTGGTGACACTCCGTTCTATCGCACAGTCGCACCATGTTCACTGTGGATCACCATAAAGAACATCATATTTTCTATCTTTCTGCCGCTGTCATGTGCCACTGTCGTGCTCTGTGTAAACAGAACCTTAAAGCCAGGGACCTGGACAAGGATATCAATCGGTATTTGCAAAGGGCCATATTTTACATATTGAGACTACTGTTTGCAATCAAATATGAATGTTTATTTCCAAACACTTTATTGTTATAGATCTCTATTTACACAGCGATGGCATCAGCGAGGGCAAAAGGATTAAGCCCAACTGTCAGAGAGTCCAAGCCCAAACAGGGGAACCAAAGAGAAAAGGAAATCGCTCTTAAAGCCTACTGGTTGGAAATTTTCAGACTCTGTTGGACAGCTTAGTTGTCCAAAACCTGGTGCCATCACTGCCAGCCAAGTAGGGCCTACATTTTGCGCTAATACAATTACGCCAGATTTTGATTGGTTTGTCGTTACATTCTACCCAAACCATACTAACTAAATGTAGATGATGTTAGAAATCAGGATTAAAATTAAGTTCTCAAATAATAAAGCAAGTTAGTGATTCAAATATTTAATATCAAATACAGTGTATCCAGTTAAATTTTATATTAACTTCTTTAAACAAAAGTGCACTTTGGGTAAAATTCCACTTTGAAGACAAAGAAAATCAATAACATTAGATAGGTAATTATATTAGATCTATTTGTAGCTCTACTATTTATACTTAAAGATTGCTTTCGATATGATCGGAAGCCTATTTTTTATACAAAATATCTAGGAGGTACTGAATATCAATTTACTTTGGCAAATATTGAAATCCAACAAACATTTTCTTTCCTCTAATTACAGACAACTATACATGAGGAACAGAACAATTTTAAACTATCATTTTTATAACAGATTCTGTCATCTATAATATTTCTTACATATTATTTGAATCAATTTCATAATTTCTGAATGCATTTACAGAAAATTCGCACATTTTAAGATATAGAATATGTACTCGCACCGGAATTCACACCCACACACAAACCTCAATGGGTACTGTAGAATCTTTATCATTTTCAGTACCACGAGAGTCATTAACAGCATTGCATATAAAAAGCTTCAAAATGTTTACAAAAATAAATCCAGCAAAAGTGTAACACACGTTAGGATATTGTTGCTGGTGTCATGACAATTTATTTTAAGCACTACAACAAATGCAATTTTTACTATATACGTTATTACCTTTTTATTACACATACAATTGTATACTTTCTGATTTTTTTCAAATAATAGTAACTTCAATATGTATTTAGGGATACCATTAATGACATGTCTGCACAGAATTTAATCACTGTCAAATTACTGTAAACAAAAAAAAAAAAAAAAAAAAAAAAAAAAAATGGCATTGCTATGGTAACAGAAAAAAAAAAAAAAAAAAAAAAAAAAAAAAAAATGGCATTGCTATGGTAACAGCTTACTATGAAAATGGTGAGGTCATAGCCAAATAAAATTTGAAGAAAAAATATCATTAATATGAATTGTTTTATCAAATTTACAAATCATTACTGCTCATTAGCAACTAATGGAGACATATAATAGTTTTAATTGCATATGTCTAGGTCAAAGGTCAAGTTATATGTCTAGCCTATCAGAGAGCATGTATGGAATTATTGTGTGTAATATTTCTTTTTTCCACCATACACAGTGTGTATAGCTAGGCTAATTTGTATATTGACCTTTGACATAAACATGCACAAATGAAACTAATCTACAAGATGCCCGTAAAAGGGCATACAACTACTGTGGTATTGACTGAATATCATATATGTACTCTACTACATTAAAAAGAACACAATTGATTAGAGAGAGGGTGCCAGCAACTGTAACCTTAATACCAAAGTCACCAATCAAAGTTTAACAGAAAAATAACGAGACTTTATTAAATGCTAATATATACACACTAATGAATCATAAAAGAATTATCAGTACTGTAAACTTCATGTTTGCCAGCAGGACTGTAATAGCAATTCAAAACAGCATGTTGAATTTGTGTACATAAACCATGCATCAACAAAATCTATGGGAGGTGCTCTAACAACATCACCATAATTACCTATTTACAAATGAAACTAAGTGAATATTAGGTAGTTTTCGGTGCACGACGTTAACCTTAACGCTAACGGCATAATTTATTCATCTTGCGTTGCAGAATACATTAATTTCAGGATTTCACATGCTCAATGTACGTTAGTTACGGGTTTGCGTATGCTTATTTCGATTTGTCTACAAAAGGGCCGGAGCTATTGCGTTGCATGCTGGGTACCAACGTTAAAGTTAAGGTTAACGTCGTGCTGCAAAAACTACCTCTTTTCTTTCATAACACTTTGCCATCATGGGTTATTTTCATACCAGAAAACAAGTGAATGTGTTGGATTATAATTACAATCTTTTTTGTATAAAAAAAAAAATGTAATGGCTAAAACTTCTCTGTGGCTACTTCATTTTTCAAGTCAATAAAGAACAATGCACATACAAGGATGGTGGTAGGCATTTTAAAGTTCTAATCTAAATCTAGAGAGCGGGGCAAGTTTTGACATCATTCTGAAAAGGGTCATGTAGCATTATCATTATTGTCTTTAGTCCAGCAGGCAACATAGAGGGCAGCACACCTACAGATATCACACAACCTTCCATACGTTTAACTTTTTACCCACTTTAGTTTATTGGGCTTTACTATTCTCTAATAGGCAATTTTGAATAAATCTCATAAGATATCATCATCACCTTTGGTGCCACAAGATCAACAGGAACAGTCCAGTAACCACAAAAACAGTGCTATTTTTAACACAATTCCATTGATAGAAAAACGACGATTCAATTAGAAAGTATGGCAGTTACCAAGTTACTAAAATTCACATGGGGTGAATTCTAAATAGCGCCCCCAAACAGGTACAGCAATTTTCAGTCATGCACCATGGCTTCCTGTGGTTCCCCTTCGAGTACCAATTCATAAACTTTATCTGAAAAATAAAACCACGATATCAATATTAATACCTGGATTAGATTAGACGTACATAAATAGATTAATACAGCAATTAATATTCATTTCTTTCTAAATAATTTATTCAAATTGTTTGCTCAATCATATTATCTACATTTCATATTTCTGTGTAACATGCATTACATTACAGAAAATGTTGGGAAATTACAAGTAATGCAAGCAATTTGATAAACTATCACAATATCCACACACAGTAGCATCTAGGAATTATTAGTATGAGGGCTGATAGTGTACGATGGGAAAGTGCAGAAGAACTACAGCAGCTGCCAAAATGGGGTAGAGTGAGATGATTCTAAGAACTTAAGTTCAATTTCAGTTGGGGGAAGGGGGAACACACTTCATCTTGTGACTACCATTAGATGCCACTGTTTGCAGTAAATAGATCTTCCTACTCTTTTTCCCATAGCAAAAAAATAACTTGGGACATGTGTGCTAATGTCACACTATGGACTATGATTGCTAATGAAATGTATATTAGATTGGATTGGATTTCTTCAGTGTGGTACAAACCAAGAATAACACACGATAGTCTTGAGACTTATTTCCAGTGGGGTCCTTCTGGTGGTGATTGGGCAGTACACTGGGAGACAATCCCCTACTCTTTTCTGAAGAGTGTACTGCGTTCTTTTAACGTGCACATGGGCCATTTTGCACATAGGAACAACAGCTAAAACGTCGTATTCGAAAGACAGTATACTTTTGAAACTTGCATTTGTGTTAGGAAAGCTCATCTAAACAGATCTCCTGAAAGTGACTGCTTCAAACTTGAGAACCATGCTCTTTACCCTATCTTGCATTTTTTTATTTTTCCAATATTTTATTTCTATTTTTACGACCGCCCTTTTGGCTATTTTGCTACGAGAAAATAAATTCTTAATTTTCCCACCTTTTCTGCTGATCTTTCAAAAATAAAGTTCACTAAACAAGGTATTTAAAATATTTTTGCCATATTCATATTCCTTTAAACAATGTTTGCCGGAAAAATGTTTATGCTTGCATAATATTTCCTCTCTGGCCTAGAGACAACATTATCATTACAAAGACATATCCTCCTCTTTCTTCCTTAATGTGGGTACAAAATGTTGTACCAATCAATCAATCAATTGTACAAATTCAGCCTCCTTAAAAGTTTGAGATCATGTGTGTGAAACCAATATATAATTATGTGGAATAGTACATTGTATAAACATAAATAATTAGAATGGTTGTTAGATGATATCTATCTTTTGTTAGTGCAGGCTGGGTGGGTCGGGGGGGGGGGCACTGAAAATTAGTTTCAATAAAGTGGGTTATAATACTAAATATGACTGTTAGGTTTTCATTAAAATACGGATTTAGTTTCGCATTCTGACTTTTCACAATCCCCAAGGCCGAAACCAGCCTTGCCCCTGATTTTTTATTTGATTTTATCTAAAAAATTATTACAGTGAGAATCCCATAATGATTTTTTTTTTCTATAGCTACCAGCATCTTTTTAGCATAAACTATTCAACTGTTTTCCAGTACACTGATTAAATTATTTGATACAATGTATACAAATAACAAATGTTTATGTTTAACGGGATAGCATATAGTATTAAGAGGTAAAATGATAGGTAAAAGATGGGATGTTCTATTCAACAAGGTGTATAGCTTTATTGAATTAAACACATTCAATTAAAATGCCACAATATCCTAAAAAACAGGTACTCATTTTTACTCCTGTGTTGAGAGGGAGAGAAAACATACAGCACTTTGGCCAAGGACACTAGAGGCCGACAAAAAAAAAAGTTTGTGAATCCAACCATGATAACTGTCTCAATAAAATCCCTCCAGCAACAAATGTTTAACAATCTGTACACTATAGAGCCCAACAGTTTTTAGAGATTTTCCCCCAAAAATGCCCCTGGGACATTTATGATGCTTCCGACCAACGGTCGCGCAGTTCTTGCAGTGATGGACACAAGCGATATTCACAGCGGAGGTTTGAACCCTTGAAATCAAGACTAAGATTACAAAATAGTACAGAGAAAATCAGGGCCCCCTTGACCATTTTTCGGGACCAAGGTTTCTCTACTGATTTAGCATCACTAGGGTATAAATAAAAAAATGAGCGTGGGAACCTCCAGAAAAAGGTTGGAACAACACATTGGAACACATTTTCCGATATTGATTCATAACTTTACTTATATTCAATGAAAAAGTGTAATTTTGGTATCTAAATACAGTATGTTATTGGGGTCACTGAATCCAATGAGACAAAAACCTAGAATGGCAGCCAGTTTGAAATTCAAGATGGCCCCTGTAAAAATGGTCAAAATCGAATATTTCAGTATAATTCCACTTCTCCTCTATGAACATTTGTAAACTTTGTCTCTAATCATATGTTACTGGTCTCTCTTAATCCAATGAACATAGTTTCAAAAAGCTGGTTGGCAGCCATTTTGAAATTCATCAAGAATGCATCTGCTGCACCAACCACTCCAACTGGGAGCTTTTTACGCTTTATAAGCAAATCACTATAAAAAGGTTTGAGGAGATAGTTGTGGTATTCACAAAAATCTTGTGCTACTCCAAGGATTTAATGACCCACACCATTACCTGTAGGCTCATTAATACGGCTGCCACATAAAGATAATAAATCAAAGAAAAACTACAAGGTATCTATGAAGCATGATTACCAGATGGCTGTATGCTATGTTATGACAATATTCTACTAGCTTGGAATGGAGAGAATGGTTTCTATTTGAAGATATCCCAATATAATGACTCACTGACTATGATACCTTGATTACTGAATGCCTATCAAACAATTAAGATCCTGGTTGTTGTTCGTTAGGGTCAAAGAGCATGACCTCGATATGGACGTGCCCTGCAACATGGATAATAAATATCATGCACACATGCTTACTTATTATTATTACTTATTATTATTTATATTATCATTCAATGTATATTATTATTCATATAATTATACATGACACCATACTTTTTTAACCTTTTGTTTAGCAAATATATTTTTTAAAGATGAACAGGAGAGGGCAAGAAAAACCCTTTTTTATATTTATCAAAAGCATCTAGGCAGGCAGAATATATAACAAATGTTACTGAAGATTTTAATAATGTGTGCGAGGTTAGACAAGTTATAGAATTCACCCTTAGGTCCATACTAGAGATCTTATTGTGTTGTTGTAAAGGTTGTAATGTTACAACATACTGGTCGGACTTTAGTTAGTGTCAGGCTTTCTTTGTGGAAGTACAAAAAAAACAAAAAAAACCACAAACTGCTCGCCCCAAGCCAACTTAATTTTGATTCTACAGTACTCAAGATGTGGTTTTAAGCCAGCGTAAATGTTATCCAAACTAAGGCCAGCCTAAAAGTATTATTTTTATGACCATTGAACAAACATTGTGGAATTCTATGGTAATTACAAATGTTCTACATTGGATTGCTTTTAGGGGCACCACCAAAGTGTGTAAACACAAAATTCGACCAGGACCAGACCTGATTTAGATTCTAAATATTAACTAACAGTTTGTAATCGTTAACCTACCTTTCCATTCATCTACTCGGAGATTCATCTCTTCAAAGTCCCCATCGTACGGCTCGCCATCTGGCTCATCATTAGGATCATGGTACTGTTCAAAGTAATCATGTTTGAGCGCGGCAGCAGCTGTAATTCTCTCGTCAGAATCCATCAGTAACATCTGCTCCAGTAGGTCAATCGCCAATGGGTTTGCTCCAAGGAAGTACTTTTTAAAGTCCTTTTTCTCTGTCTGTTCTAACGTACTGACGTAGCTTTTGGCCTAGAAATAAAAAGAGTAGATGTATGTAGCCATTAAATACAAGTACAAGTGTGAATACAGTGTGAAAACGGACACAGATTTTTCATAGGAAAATGGAACAGACCTTTCCGCTAAGCCCTGCCCATGGATATTGTTGTTAAGGTCCCCAAAACAAGAGCGTAAACGTATATAAACACAATCGTTTTTTGGGACAGCATGTGTGTTTAATAGTGCCCTTTTTTAGATTGGTTGGTTGGTTAAGTTTGACACTGCGGAAGGTCCATTTTGTTGCAATAGGTATAGAGTTTTATAGTGGTACAGGTCTGACAAGAAAGGTGTGGTATCAGAAAATGAGGTCAAAGGATTAGTAATAGGGTTATAAAGTACAGTAGTGTAGGATGTTACAAGAGGTGAGGGTTCATAATTGAGACTAGCCAGGGTATTAATGCTCAATGTTAAACCACGGAGGAATTAGTTTACTCCCCAAGGTTAAACTGAGTAAATAGCATTAGAATGTGACAGTATTATATACAGAGAAGCCGTAATACTTTTACTCATTTGGCGGCAAAGAGTTGTTCACAATTATCAACATTTTCGCAAGTGTACAAACAGTACTCTTTTTCAATACCCCCTCCTTCCCCTCTGAAAGTGTACAAAAAAATGTTGATTTTGCAAAACCATTCTCAAGTCAACTAAAGCAATGTCTTAATAATAATAATAATAATATGTCGTTCTTATATAGCGCTTCATGCCTTTACAAGGCCTCTAAAAGCGCTTCACATTACTACCTCGGTCATTGGATCAAACACATATGGAACACATTGAACACCAAATTAAATTAGTAAATGAAATTATATTATCATTCCATAATTGCAGCTAGTAATCAGCGCAGGTTGTGTTGGAACCTACCAGGTTGCTTAAAAATTATTATATCCATGGTTACATTATAATTTTAAAATTATTTTACATATTGCATGTTATTTATAAATCAACATTTTTATGCATGTAAAAGTGTACAAATTTGTTGACCCCCCCCACTTGTGAAAATTTTGATAATGTTGAAGGACCCCTAAATAACCTATCATTTTAAAGCTTATAATGTGGACAATATGAGTAAAGTATATAGAAAAGTCAATTTTTTTTTTTTTTTTGGTCACTAATGCTGGTTTTTGCATGGCAAACCCTAATTGGTGAAAGTATTACAAGGAGTAAGAATTCAGCTGCAAGATGAAAGGTTTTGAAATTGAAAGGTGTTACAAGGAGGTAAGATTATTAAACAGGATGAAAGTGTGACAATGGGATGCTGTAAAAGGTGAGAATAAAGTGCATAATTAGCTCAATAAGTTTGGGAAATGCTTGTCATACCGTACCTCTTCACTTTTAATCTTTTTAATGAACTGCTGTGAAGGCGTTCCCACGACGTTCATGATTCTTGTAAGTTGGTCTATATCTATATTGCAAATGCTCAGAAAAACTGTGCAACAATCAATCATGGATTAATATAAATTTACCACAGGTGTCGCCCCAGAGGGGGATAAGGGATGTACCTTACATTAAGAAAGGATACAAACTTAGTCAATGGAAAAATATTTAAATTAAATAATCAATTATCATGATTTTAATTTGTGCTTCTAATGGATTTTTAAAATTACAAATAGAAATTGGCGAGAAAGCCAAATAATCAAATATGTCTGTTAAATGTACGAAGGCTAAAAAAGGTTTTCTTGCCATAGTGTCTTGGAATTGCTTAAAAAAGATAAATTGTATAAAAAGGATACGATCTGTTCCAGGGAATAATGTTTTGCCTGTCAACAACTCAGCCATAATGCAACCAACAGACCATATATCAACTGTAAAACAAAATGTAAAAATATATTAACAATCATACTTTCATATGTTTTATTATGATTTCGTTTTATTCTAATCCACTAGCAATTCGACTCAACAATAAGTTAAATAATGAGTAGCACACTTGGTTAACGCAAAGTAATGATTTAAAACAACTACTGTATGTTTTTTCCGTGTTTCACTACATTAGATGAAATATGGAAATAATGTTCATTATGGTGGCACCCTTTATGCCTTGGCGTATTATTGAATCAGGATGGATCCAGTGGGCCTAATGTGGGGCTGATCGAGATAACACCAACCAAGGGGGTCTGAGGGCATGCCCCCACGAAATTGTTGTTTTCTAGACACAAAAAAATAACCTGAGGCATTTTGGGTGATCAAATTTTTCTGTTTCTCTTTTTTTTTTTCTTCTTTTTTTTACTTTCCAAAAGGGGGAGGGGTCAGGCCCCTCCACCCTAAATTGAATCCGCCCCTGGGAATGGAACTCGGAAAAAAAGCTTGGTACTTGCAGTCAACGTTTTAACCACTGTTCGCAGCCTATGCTTTCCAAATTTATGTATACTGCACCTGCTTTTGTGTAGGTACCTGCTTTTGTGTATTGCATCCAGTTGAACATAATTTCCGGTGCCCTGTACCAACGTGTCGCAACGTAGCCCGTCATTTGATCATCAAGAGCACGTGCCAAACCAAAATCAAGAATCTAACAAAATATGCAGGATGAAAAAAAAATTTTCATTACATTTTTATGTATTCTGTACATTACCGTACAAAATTCTAACCTACAGTAAAGACTGATGGCACACAAGGGATATGAATTGAAAATAACATGAGTGATTAAAACATCCATTCACATTCTTTCAATAAAGAATACAAATGTGACTAACCTTGTACTTTGTATTTTATCTATATATGTAGATATCAAATTAAAAGCTGCACCTCAGGGCAGTGGCATAATGCCGTGGCTCGGGCCCTGTGGCTTATAAGATTGATTGAGAGAGTTCTTGCAGGCATTGTCGCTGTTAGAGCACGAAAGTTCTAGTGGTAGAGGTTCTGAGGGAATACCCTCCTGGTCGGCTGAGTCAGTTTAGGATTTTAGGACCTAGCATTTGATTTCAGAGATACATTGCGTACCAACAATTACTCTATTATGCTCTATTTTATTTTATTTTATTCATTTGGCATGACGGCTCAGGAGTCACAAAAGCAGAAATATTAAACAATATATTTATAAACTTGTTTATTTTATTTTTTTTATTTTCAAGAAAAAAATTTTCATTTTCTTAATAATAAATTTAAACAATTAATGTTAAACAGGCTTAGATGATTCATTTGGTTAGCTCCTGCTATATTGGCGACTGGCAATCAGGGTCTCATCAGGCTTCTATTGTTTGGTTCCCTTCGTGTTTATAGGCCTGTCGAAGACCCTTGAGGCCCCTATGGGTTGGAGGCCCTGTAGACTGCAGCACGAGAGCGCATAGGTGTTAGGTGCTTGCCTCAGTGCCCAGAGTGACAATTGCCACAAGGTATATTGTCTGATGCAGGGTCCCTGCCATATTAATAATAACATATTAAAGCTATGAGTGATTAAAATTTGATAACAATAGGATATCCTGTACCTTCAGTTCACAGTCTTCATTTACTGCGATATTACTGGGCTTTAAGTCTCTGTGAATTATGCCAGCTGAATGTACATACTGAAAGATAAAAGATATTAATTCATAAAAATGTATAAGATGAGTACATGAATAAATTGGACAGTACTGGTACAATAGTTCAGTTACAGTCAATTTATAAGATACAAGATATATTTTATCGCCTCTTATTTAAATTCCATCCATCCTCATTAATTTAGGTAAATATAAACATCACATACAGTATCTTGTCAGTTGCAGTAATTTTCCTTGTTTATATTAAAAGTGTCTTATCTTGTATTAGTATATTTTTGGAAATTAAGATTATGTGAATGAATTAATTATAATGGTTGTACCTTACTGTATATACAATCCGCAGTTCAAAGCATCTTAGATATGAAATAAAATGAATAAAACAAAACAAAGTATAGCTTATAATAAATGAACTATCTGTTAGTTATCACACAATAGTAGTAGGCTACCGTAAAACCTCGACTTGAAGCCCAGTGGGCTTAATCTCGAGATGAAGCCCATCTCGAATTGAAGCCCTCTCTTTAGTTTGGAAAATTAGCCTCGAAAAGAAGCCCATCTTGAAAAGAAGCTTATGGGCTTTTATTACGATAGAAGGCTTCTTTTCGAGATAGTACAGTACATACACTGTACATGAATTTCAAAAAACAAAATAAATTAAAAACAAGCTTGGTTTATACAGTAGTTTAGGTGATTTAATGTCAGTTAAATACACTCCAAGACTCAGAGGGATGTTACAGTGGCTGAATTACTGTATTTTTTTATAGTACAAATTCACAAAATTTACAGTACTCATTTTGAAAAGAAGCCCTCCTCTTTACTTTGCAAAAGTAGCCTCGAAAAGAAGCCCATCTCGAAAAGAAGCCAATCTAAAGTTCACAAAAAAAGGGAAGAAGCCCAGGGCTTCAATTCGAGGTTTTACGGTATTAATATTACATGAAATAATATACAGATGTTTATTCATTTTTATTTCACGTACACAGCCTGAAATCTTGGTTTACAAAAATATTTATAAAAGCGCACAAAGGTTCATAAAAATATAGAACTGTAGAACTGGTGAACATATTGACTGATTTTCTGCCTCTGTTGTTAAACATGTTTAATAACAAGATTGGTTGTCCTGGAAATACTACCCCTCCCTCCCACAACAACAAAAAAAATAACCCTTTGAAATTTGTCCTTGGTTTGCTTGTTTTTTAAATTCTTAGATTTTTTATGGTATATTTGTCTTTGTACTTGTGAATTTGTGTTCTTTTTTTTAAGATTTAGCAATTTTACTACATCCTGGTCTTCAAGCTCCTTCGTGTTTAAACAAGGTCCTTCTCATATATTTCTAATATCCACTCTTTAAAAAATTTTTATTTGTAAACTGATTTGAAACAATTTTAATAATTAGGGTCAGTGAGTGCTTTAAACATTCCCAAAATCTGTCATTAGATTCCCAAATTTTGCTCAGTTTATAGAAATTTGCCATTTTAAGGTCAGAGTTCATTTAGAAATTTGCCATAAAGGTCAGAGTTCCCATCAAGCCATTTGCTATTATGCATATTCTTAATGTACAAACTCAACTGTAATCAGTTTAAGGTTCATGCAAATACTACATCCGAATATCTAATATGAATAATGAAACGTTATGCCAAAATTAATTACCTGAACATATGACAGTATACTACAATATTGCAACTGGTTTCTACTAGGACAGGTTTAAAAATTATGATCATTGACATGATTTTATATAATCTTGAATAATTTATTTGTCATGCAAATTACAAAATAGAAATATCTATTCAAGTCTTCAATATTGATTTTGTGTTAACAGCTTAGCTTCATCAGAATGGGTGAACATGATTCCATGAAATAATAAAATATAAAATATATATACTGATACTACTGTACTGTAGACATGCTATCTACATAAAAGTGCTATGAACAATATTTGCTATATCCAGGTTCGTTATTTTTCATGAAGCTTGAAAAATACAACTCAAAATACAATTCAAGTTATTTTTTTCATTATATATTAATGGATGGCCCCTTTATTAGGGTACAGTATGAATGTGCATGGCCAAAAATGCACACTTGCATTGCTGAGATGAGAGCTGAGTTAACTTTTTTAAGACACTTAGTTTTCTTCTATGGAAACCTACAATGTTTAAGGGAAAGAGAATAATATAAACGAAATAAAAGATAAATAAAACAATTAAATATATCTATGATTGTTTTTGTTTTACTATCCACTGCAGCATGAAGGCCTCAGCACACTCTCTCCAGTACGCCGTCGTCAGCAATCTTAATTTTTTTTAAACTACGTAGTTTGCAATGTTACAATTTATCCCTGCATCTGTCATTTTTTTATTTTGTGTTTTTATATCCGTATAATTTTGATACCTCATTAATAAGGTATATTGAAGCATACAGTACTTGTGAATGGTTTTAGCTATAGTCAATCCTTTCTACTGCTAATTTTTATATGTTTCAACTCCTAATTAAATTTAATTTCCTTACTATTAAAAAGTAATTTAATTTAATGTCCTTGCTGAAGTAATTAATACAGCTTTCAAATGAAAATTTGATTGACAAAATATACTTTGCATACCTTTATTTAATTGGCTGGTACAATCAGTTTAGGATTATCATAGTGTAAATCTAAAACAGAAATCGTTTTTAAAGATGTGCTTCATTGGATTTTATTCCTTGGTAATTAACTTAATTTTATTTACTGAAGCATCTGTCAAATACAAATTTGAATGAGAGAATGCTTTCCAAAGTAAAGTTTATTGCAAACTTAAGAAAAATTTGAAATGTACATTTAAAAGATGTATAATTTTAAAGGAATAATCATATTCAGATGCCCTCCCTGGGCACACGCTGTCGTAGACTTGCCACAAGTCTCTAATTATAGGTTTTCCTAGTATTAGCTAATTTTGGAGAGCGCCACCAGCGACGGTATATATCGAGAAACTTTTATGCAAATTAGATCCTAATCCAAGAAAAAGTATACTATGAAACGCCAAGCAAATAGGTAATATGGAACGCCATTGGTGCCAAAATCGATTTAAAAACAAAAGATTAGGGACTGGAGCCCAGTCTAACGCTGTCGTTGCGCAATGCCACAATTTGTTCTGACTGCCACAGACAATCAGCAAGATTGTACAAAGCAGTGAGAGTGCCCTGTTATTGTCTGTAAATCAGCAGAAAAAATATTTCATTAGAAGCCTGTTGGATCCTTTATGAGCAAACCAATAATTTGGAGGTTTCAGATTAATTTACTAAAACAGAAAGTATAAAAAAATAATCTTCCTTCATTATGCAAACTCAAATACAGTACTGTACATCAAGGAAGTTTCATTGTTTTATTAATAATTCAAAGGAAATTTGCTTTGCTGTTTCTTGTGAACACAGAGCTTATAGTATAATTAGTAATCTATAAGCACCTTTTTTACCTATGGGATAAAATTTATAAAAAAAAAGAGTAATTTGAAAAACAATAAAGTTTCCATCATTTAAAAAACACTGGCAAATATTTCAAATGCAATCAATTATCTAATCACTGTTGACTAACTTCCAATCACAAATTTGTATGAAAATAAACTGTTTTCACTTTCAATTGTGAATATTTTGTTACTATTTATCCCAAATTGCAATGTCACAAAAAAAAAATATAAAAGATTACTGTACAGTCATGTATACTGTACTGTAGGCCTAACACTCCATAATATTGTGTTGACATCCTTCCATAAATAGACAAAAGGGACAACTTAGCAATTTAATAGCAAATCACCCAAAATGCTTTAAAAAAAGGAAATATTATCCATTTCAGCTTATAACAGTTGCCCACACTACCTTCCACTCTCACGACCCACCACAAAAATGCTTTACTTCAAAATATCCAACAACTCCTAACCTCAACATATCAACAATAATCCAGCACTGCAGTAATAAATACTTGACAATTCACATCAACAAGAACATTCAAACCTCGTAATATCAACAATAAATCACCATAATTTAGCTTCCTCAAACATCAAAACACACTTTACCTCAAACATCTAATCTACAATACTCATAAACATCTCATCTCAACTACTGTATCAAAAATTAATCAGCAAAGATTAATTCATGACCATCACATATGATATTCAAAGACAACCTTGTGACAATATCAATAAAAATAGGTTCCCAGTGGGAGCGTGTCTCTACAGTATGCCATATGCCTTTCAGTATTATATACTTATAAAGTATCCACATTGGATTCGATTATCAGGAAATGTGTAGTGTTGTATTTTTTTTTAATGACTTTTGTACAGTATTTATTTATTTATTCAATGGAATCACCTTTATTTCGGTGGCACACATCATTCAGTGGTGCATCCACATTACAAAATACAAAATTATACAAATAACATATTAAACTACAGGGAAAAGAGAAAAGTTCTAAATTCTACTACAAAATACAAATGATACACAGATATACAGTAATAAGGTACTTAATACACATGACCCATCATGCCACTAAACCGGATTTACCCTTTCAGCCATCTTTAACTGCCAGACAACAACATAGTGTCTCTGCCCCCGAGGGTGCATAGACACAACAAACCATAATACTTTACACTTAAATGCAAGGCAAGTCATCCCAAACCGTATCATCAGTAATTACTGTACCCTCACCTCTCTGAAGAGAGGTGAAGGGTTGCAATAGAACACTTCTCTGTGTCTTTCAATAACTCAATAGCACACTTCTCTGTGTCTCTCAATAACTACTGGGCTGATTTACAGTATCTCAAATATTCACGCATTGACAACCCTTAAATTTGGTACTGATCAGAAGTACATGTAAGATGCAGATTTTTAAAATGTTACGTATATCTTCCAGCCGCATCACACATAGCCAACATGAGCGGATTGCTCAGGCTGACCGCAGGCCATAATTTTTTCACAACAGCGCAAGAGTTTTTTAATCTCAGATTAACTTGTTAGCATTTGAATTTGACAGTTACTGTTTAATACTTCGAAGCCATAATGTTCTTTACTCACAATCAATTCCACAGGGTAAAGCCATTATTTTAAGTTATGATGTGGAGAACATGGATTAAAAATTTATTTTTTTAGGCCATGGATGCTGGTTCTAGGATGGTGTGTTTCATATTAATTCATTGTACACTTGAGACCAAACATTTAACTTCCAAAACATTTGTGACTGCCTATGGCAAAAACCAGCCATTTGTGTAGGAAAAATTAAAAATTGAATAAACTTTTTAATAAAATGGAAAAACCTAAAAATGTTAATAATTCTGATTTTAGAACATTTTGGGTGCCTGTGTGAAATTATAAATTGCGACAAACGGCAGGTTTTGCCAGAGCCAATCACATTTCACCTCCTTGATAAATCAATTATGACAATAACCTAATGTCATAAACTGTACAAATCAATACAAAAAAAAGCCAATACAAATATCTTCACCTTGACAAAAATCAAACTTGCAAGTAGACTTATGGATACAAATAGGAAACTATGATAATCTACATTTGCATACAACTGAAGTAAAATGTCAAAGGTCATTAAAATGGGCATTATTTTCCCTTCAACCAATGACTCAGCTGGGGTTATTATAATCTAACATCCTGGTACTTTAGGAACACTGGTATTAAAGGTCACATCACCTATACAAGATATTTAAACTGACCTTTAAACCACGTATAACTTGGTAAATAAGGAACTGTACATGTTCATCAGTCAGTTTCTGCGTGCGGACAATATTGTTGAGGTCCGCCCCCATTAAATGTGTTACCATGTAAACTTCTTGAAACGTCTCCAGGGACTGGTCTGGTGTGAAAACATTCAAGAGTCCAATAACCTGGGAATAGAAGAGAATAAATAATAAAGAGAAGAATAATTAGGAGAAAAATAATAAATTACAGTAAATAGCAAAATTTCAGAATGACAAAAAAAAAAAATTTAATGATGCTCTATATGGACTGTAGCTTAGCTCACTCTTACAAAAAAATGTCTCCCTCTAATTAAAGACCACCTTCAATTAAAAACCACTTTCTGTGATCCCAAATGAACAACTGTCTTTTATCTTTATTTTTCTAATTAGAAACCAAAGCTGCTCGAGACCAAAGTGGTCTTTAGTTGGAGGGAGATCTGTACTATACTCTGGAAAAAATAACAAATATTGGCTTTGAATTAGGCATGCAATGATAAAAAAATTGCCTTTTGATTAAAAAATGAGATTCCCGGGTACAAGCCCAACCCCACCCCTAAAATCAGCCCAATTTTGTTGGGGGTGTGGGGGTGTGGGCCAGACAAACTACATACGGTAATAAAATATATGCATAAGAGTGATTGCTAAAATCGCCAACAATGTCTGATTAAAAAGAAATTTACTGTAAAATCAGAGCTGGCTGAACTTGACAAACACTACGTACACTAGCACAATGAAGCATTATGCGACAGTATTGTGAACAATTTAAACCTGTAAAATAAAATACATATATAGAGAGTTTATTTCTAAGAATTGAAGGACAACCTTTTTCTTCAATTGTAAACCAAGGTGAATGCAAGAAAAAGGGTATACCTAGCAATAAAAGCAGAGTATAGAAACCTTTATTTACAAAAATGCTGAAGGACAAACACAATTTAAAGGAAATTAATTGTGTCAGGCCAATTGAGTCTCCTGGTCTGGCTTTCAACACTTTTACATACAGTATATCCTGCATTTTCATGTCAATTTTTGTGTAATTTTTATAGTGTCTATTAATCAATAGTAAATTGCGTAAAAGATGTGACGTACTGTATATCCACCTCACTTTTGCTATGCCAGTGCTCTATCTTGTATTTCTAGTAGCTTTAGTACAATAATGGTTTGAATTAAACATGCAGTGCTGATAATATGCCTTTTGCTTGAAAAGGGGATTTCCCGGGAATAAAAAAGTATAATGAAACTACTGTACACTATGTTCAGTGTTGATGGGACTGAGTCATGTTTTCTGTACAGTTCTAAGCTTTGCAATTTTTTGACTTTTTAAGGCCAAGCTTTAGAGAAAGACAACCTTTTTGATACAATATGCTATACAAAGGACATTGAAGGGATGTTTACAGCAAATAATCAAAAACAAAAAAACAAAATAAAACTAAGACTTTTTGAAAATTAGAAACAGGGTTACAGTTACTAACACTTCTTCAAGATAACTCTATAATCCAATAAATATACAGAAATTCATTTGAAACTCTGACAAAAGTAAAAAGTTTAAATTCAAATTCATCTAAAATAACTTTAAAAACCGCTGTTAGTATACTGTAGAAATACATAAACTGAATATATAATATAAGTTTCATGTACTGTATGGTATTGCTTATAAAAATTACTAGCCATTTATTCAAACACCACTTTAATGTCATTATAATGTACAGGTAGTTGCTACCATATAATGTAATATAATATTATGTAACTATAATAATATTAATATTACTGTCTTCTGTCATCAATACTTCTCGTCTTCTTGTATTGTTAATACAATAGTTTTTCTTCTTATAACTTTCTTACTATTGATATGTAACACAATTAGCACACACTCTTTGTCACCAACACCAGTAGAAAAATACGTCTTCAATCTAATTCAGCCAACAAAAATATGCTTTAAAGTTTACAGTAACTTCAAATTCTGAGTTTATTTAAGTTCTCAGCAATCCGTATACACATACAGTACAGGACAACGCCTACAGTAGGCCAGAAGTAAGACAAACTTCAGTCGTGAAGAACTGCACCAAACTTCACCAAATTCAAATTTTCCTCACATATTATACAAAACAATCTTTGGTATGTGAACCAATCACAAACAGTCCTATATTCACATGATCTCTTGAACCAATCATATTATTAATAATTTTCTTACAATGACATAGCATAGCCAATCACAAGCAACCTAGTATAATCGCCTATTATTAAATCAATTGTATAATATTATTAACATAACAACACTTCCTTTAGTATTACATAATTAAATCAATAGTATATCAATATTAACATTACACTTCCTTCAGTGACACACCCAGAATTATAATTAATTATTGTAATCAACTTTGTAGAATAAATTTTACAAAAATAATGCTAATACTGTAGTAGCTTAATTCAGATATGGTATGCAGTACTCCATTCCAGTCATACAATATTTTTGTACAACAGACTATATATTATTTTATTTTCTCTAGCACATGGCTTCAAATGTACTAGTTCCTCTTGTGTAAACCCATTCTCTTGAACACAAAAAATTTGGGCCAGTTTAAAGGTAGATGGGCTTATACCGAGGGATTCTCATTTTAATCAAAAGGCAATTTTTTCAGCACTGATGCCTAATATCAATATTAATGTTTAAAAAAAGAATGTATTTTTTTTTAGAATATATTTACAAAAGTCAGCTAAGATATTCATTCAAATCATACACTGGGCTTTTGATCGAGGAAAAGCTGGTACATAAAATTTGGCGTAAATTAGGGCATGGGCTTATACCAGAGGTAGGCTTATTTGTACCTTAGGAACTACAGTATGGTATTACTATTGGCTACCTGTCAGCATTATCAGGTATATGTAGGGAAACTCTGCTTCCTGTTATTTTAAGCCTTGAATACAATGCATACAGTATTCCCTATGGGCTAGTTTCAGCTCCACTCATGTTGAAAGTGATAGTTTCTCAGAAAATCTGCCATGCTCATTTTCAGTGTACTGTATAGTACAAGGCTGCATCAGGCTACCACAAATTAAATTTAATCAGGGCATTGTATGCACTCTGGACTAGGTCAGGTTTTTTTAGGGCTACTCTCATGCTTAGGCTGGGTTAAAGCTATATTATACTAAAGCATGGTATTGCTGTCTATTGCAATACAAGTACCCAAGATTTCTAAAGTATACACATTAAAATAATAAAACCCCAAATTAAGCAATTTCTAAATATTGGAGGCTATAAAATTGATTGCATTAATGTATTTATTATTTAACAACTTTGTGCAATGGGGCTGGCTACGAAATTCACCAAAATCTAGGCATGGGCTTATATTATATGATATCTGATGCAAATTTTTGGTAGAAACACTTACTTGTTATCAATTTTTTTAAACATCTCTTATCAAACAAATTAACATATAAAAATCAATGATACAGTACAATACAACAATTATAGAAAGGAAAAGATTGGGTATTGGTATACTGTACAGTATGTACCTGATAGCAATCATAACCATTATTAAAATATAAATACAGGTTCCCCCCTCCAATTAAAGACAACTTTAAATGGTAGTGGAGTTTTATAGTATACCATCAGCATGACCTTTTTGAACTTACATTTTCATGTTTCATATGTTTCAGCAGCCTCAGTTCTCTATATGTCCTCTTTGCGTGAATTGTAGATTGGAATGGCCGTGCCAGCTTCTTAATAGCAACTTGTTTTTGCGTTTCTCTATCAGTCGCTGAGCTGTTTACAAGATATAAGATAATGAAATATTGAAAGATTTTAATAAAAAACAATGCAATTGGAACAGTGGTAAGACACCAGGCTAGTTATTTGAAGGTTGTGGGTTCCTACCCAGCTGACTTGCAAGATTTTTTTGCAAGTATTTGGGAAAGTAGTTGAGTATTCAGTATAACATGTCAGGTAGGGCAAAAACATCATTCATAAACAATAGATTATCGACCAAAAATTAAAAACAGTATCAATGTACTTTATATCCAGTATAGCAAAACACAGGAGCTTTGAAGCAATAAGAAAATGGAAGCTATAAATAACTTTATCCCAATTATTATAATTGAACAGTAATAAAAGCAAAAATTAATTATACTACCGTAAAACCTCGAACTGAAGCCCTGGGATTCTTTTTTTTTGCGAACTTTGGATGGGCTTCTTTACAAGATGGGCTTCTTTTCGAGACTACTTTAGTAAAGTAAAGGGGTCTGCTTCTTTTCATTCATTCATAATTCATATATATTTATTTATATAGCGCCTTTCTTTGCAGATACGAAGCGCTTCTGTCCCTGGTCATTGGATCCACATGCTTAAGTGTTGCT